GCATGTTTATCTATCACGGTGCACAAGAAAGTCCTCTAAACATTTAAAGCAGAATATGTTGGACTAACAGGACGAGAATTCTTGACGCGATTTTATCGTGTAGCAAAATAGTGCACGAAGTCTAGATTTAAAATACGTATTGATTATTCCTTGCCCCCTACAGTTATAACATATAGGATTTTGCCAAGCTCAGCTCAGACGTGCCGCCTATCCTATTCGGTCAAGTGAGCTAACGTTGTTTTGTGTGATTCGAATTGGAATCAAAATTTTCCCTAGTTTTAAGAGGAGTACATGAGATTCAAACGTGTAGAAGTACTTAGATAGCAAAACAAGCAGCGAGCATGTTCAGCTGAAGCGATTTCACGGAAATTAAAATTCCCTGACTAGTTGCAAGCGCTCAATTAGGAAATGCTCATAAACTTGAGTTTCTTGTTGTATTAAATATCCACTACTTATTAGCTCGTTTCTAGAATACTCAGCTCAACCGTAGAAACATAAGTCATTACATGAACATCTCATAGCATAGATGCTACAAACTTTACCAGCAGCCTAAATGCTACATATTTCAGTAAATGAAAACAGTTAATTTTTTGAAAAATTTAAACATTTCATTATATCCGGCTCTAACTGAATCAGTTGGTAGGAGCAGAACTTCCTAAATAATAAGTGAATTGTACAAGTAGCTAATTGTATTACTTAATAACGTGGAGTTCAGTTGAAATTTTTATTGTAACATTATTCAAGTAAACAAAGATTTAGAGGTTGAAAAAACTCGACTGAGTATAGGTAGTCGATGTCGTGTAGATTTACGCATCAGATTAGGCAGCTATCCTTCTTTGGCATAAAGACCTCCTTTCGATGTCAGACATACTCATGGAATCAGTCCGCTACAACACATATCGTTACACGTCTTTCTAAACTACTTGAGTTCAATTATGACGATAAGCACAGCTGAATAAAAAGTTTTACAAATCGACAATTATATTTGCCAAGAGTAATGTAAATCTTCCATGAGGCGCGACGAGAGGTTCTGAATAAGCCTAGACGGTTCGGCTGCCCCTTTTGTCCGCGTAGGGCAGCTATCACAAAATGTTGCAATATATATACGTATGTAGTCTTGGAATAGCCAACTAACAGGTCAGATTTTTATATTGCTTTTGAGGGCTGGCCGTCCGTGGCTTATGGTTTAGATTCAACCGAATGTGTCGCTCTAGTCCGGCTACACCACAGATAGTGAAGATATTTGATATGCACTTCTTGTTTGATGTCGCCGTATTACAGACCTGTCTTTATTAGGAATCTATTATGTGCCTCCTCGCGCAGGAGGGCGCAATATCCATGGTGACTATGAAGTACCCCAAACACGATAACACTTTTTACCATGAGATTCCGTAGTATAAAGCTTTGATGTCGGACGGAACGATCTGACTGTCGAGACATTTCATCATTTCTTTTATTCTGTCCACAATGAAAAACGGCATTGCTCATCGTAGAAGCCAATATTTCCTGTGCGCAAGTATTTGTCGGTGAACATAGCTAAAATTGCCTTAGGGTTATTATAGTAGCCTGAAACAATAGTAAAGCCTTGTACCCACAATTCACTGCTGGCAACGCTTCTTTGCTGTCAACGTCGGAGACCTTGATCGAAAAATTCCACGAACATGAAGCTCAAGGCCCTCTTTGTATTGTGCAACTATAGTGCACATCTCCGAGAGAACGTATATGTTAATGAAATAGGCAACATGAGGAAAAGATTCTTTCATACGTTTGACAAATGTCTCTTGAGCAATTAATCTCTCGGTCCGGAGTCCTTGCAACCTAACCTTTGACGTTCACAATGGCATTTAGGAACCGTTAAATGATATCGGCGAATTTTCCCAGATTTTCCTTGAGATATTCGCTGGCAACAACGATCTTCTATGCCTAATTTGGAGCTATAAACATCCTCCTTAAAATAAAAATACCCGATAAATACGATTAGGAGCTCGTCAAAGGTTTAGTAATGTCAGGGGTCCAACAGCTGTCGTAGAACGGGTATACGTTCGCAATAAACGTTTTCACAGCTTTAGAAAGATCCGTCGAGCCAGATATGAACGTCATGAAAAGTAGCGTCCCGTAGGGTCTGAATGCTGCCTCTACGGGCATCTCCTTGAGAATCCATCTCGCCTAGCTCAAGACGGGTTAGTGAATTCTGTGGTGTGACAAGTGAGCGCCTGCCGAATATAAGGGCCAGCATTTTAAGGCATGATCGTAGGCTACTCATAGCAGTAAACGTGACTAGCAGGTCCTTACGCATGCCTTCATTCTAAATATATGCAGCAAGTTCCTCCACCTCACGGTTCTACTTTGCAGTACCAAGATACGATTACGAACTATTATTTTTTTCGTGTAATAACGTTCATACGATGGTTCAATGGCGATATTTGGCAATAATGCGTAACGGTCAGCGGATTTTACTGCTATCGGATTTCCGTAGTCGTGCGTAATAATAATGATAATCACGATAACAATGGCGATTGCGGAAAGATAAATGTACCAAATTTTTTTTCGGACCTTCACATGAATTGAATAAGAGTGTGAAATATCAATTATTTCGAACTTTCGTTTATCATTGCGAAAAAATACATTTAAAAGTGGGTAGCAACCCCGACATACGGTACGATAATAACTTGTGGACATGTGATTGTAATCACCCTTTGATAATAGCTATTGCTATCGTATGTTTTCTATGCTTGGCCGTTTCAAACATCATAAAAATGAAGCCACTGTTTACCCACTGGATTATTTACAATGAAGCTTCATTCAATAAAAATGTATTAATTAAAAGTTTCATAAACGCTAACCTTCCTTTCAGCTTTCATGAAGAGTAAAACTTAAAATAATTACAGTTGTTTGCGCAAACACGTATTTGAGCAAAATTCATACATTGTGAAGCGCATCATTGATTCAAACAGTGGAAATCGGAACGAGATACGGCCATATATGCTGAACCCCCCATTGCAGATTATGACATAATAATAAACAAAAAAAAAAAGAAACAGGCAAAGGTCGACGTCAATAAACGTACGAGAGTGCGACAAAATTTGAAACAACAACAGAGAAAAACCCTATTATGCGCTTTCGTTTACCGAAATGCTATCGTGCAATTTGTTTTCCAATATTCTTTTTAGCAACTTTACAAGAGCACAATAAAGAGGTATTTTAAAAAGTTTGAAAGTCAGATTGTTGCAAAGTTTACCCAGCAAGTAATGTGTGTCGTAGCATTATGAAGATAGGATGTAAAATTTGTCACTTGTAAAATTTGTTACTGCCGACAAAAAGCAGATATAATTATATTTTTCAAGTAAAACATAATCAATCTTCCGAGCCCTTTTAGTAACTGACTCACAAATATATGAGGTGTAAGGCCTTGCGACGGGCTAATATCTTTGCGTGATGTCCGACATGCTTCATTAAATGGTCACTAATTATTACGAAAAAAATATGGAAAAGGTCGTGCATTGTATTGTTCTCTGTGCGCAATATAAATTTCATAAATTATGAACAATGCTTGGTCATGTGGGAAAGATGACGATCTTGCTTTTCCATGGCTCGCTGCAAATGCCAGAATATACAACAGTGGTGAAATTTGTATACAATCATGAGAATACCTATATTATTATTATCTAAAAGCATTTTAGCTAAAAATACCCAAAATAGCAGAAGAATTACAGTATATGATGTATTGCACCATGATAAGGTACGAAATGAAGTGAAAAAAATCTCTCTTTTGCCGTTAGTGTATATGTTTTTTCAGCCTATTCGACACAGCGTTATATCAAACAAGTCGAAATAACATTATTATAATAAAAATTGTGATTGTCATTTTACTGCATTGTGCAGTATCTTGTTTATGTACTTATCTGTGTACTTCGAGATGATTACGTAATATTTCGAGAAACACTTTTTCAGAGAATGATCTTATTCGGCATTGTTCGAGTGTTATGTTTCTTTCCTACGCCCATGGCACGTAGTGATTCTCGTAAGAAATAAACTTTCCAAGTTAGTAACATCTATAGTAGAATAAGTGTAATAGAATAAAAGAAACCATTTTTGTCAAAAATTTCATTTGATAAATATGTACCTTACGTGGCCCTGACGTCGTACTATAAGGGCTTCTCGTATTATTCATTAACTGAACTCTGTTAATAATTGATTCTATTATTTAATAACGTACTGTTTGGTTGAGCAAGGCAAGACGATTGCAAAGGTTAAAAAGAGCTTTGAAAGAGATCTTCGACATACCGACTGATCAAAAGGTGTGAGAGAAACTCGTGCATCACTCCACGTTGGAGCATGCTCTCCTGCGTTAGCAAGCGCTCCCCTGGCTAGGGGAATGCAATATTCTATTCGATCATATACACAACGACTAAATACGCACCCGGTATTTAGTCAGAATGTAATTGTGTAGCTTCGCCAAACCAAGGCAATGATTAGTTCTCCTAATTTAAGCGGCCGAAGTCCTCCACACATTATGACTCCATGCCGACATTGAATCTTCCGATTAGAATAATTTCGATCGTAGAAGAAAATGCGTCCTTTTTGAACGCAATGCTCGAGAGCTATTAGCTACAAAACATCTAACGGCATAGGGTTGAGTTGGGTTGCGTGTAAACGTTGAGAGGGTCACAATGTGCAATCGGCCAAAACCTGCGCCGTCTAAGGCTTTGCGCTCAATCTTAGCTGTCAGTGCGTAGCTGAGCAGAGCACTGAAAGGAACTCGTTTTCTTCTTATATTATTATATATTATTCTCGTCTGCCTTGACATAACCAGAACTGAACTTCGCATGGCAATTGACTATATCTATTCATCAAAGAAGTAAGCATTACTTCGAAATAAAAAAAATACAGTATAGTTACTAGAAGAAATTTACTCGACAATCTTTAACTAGTGCTCTAAGTAGCTAATACGATCTTCAGATTTATGCTTATGGCGTTTTGATAATTTATGATTCTTACAGGGGCATTTAGGGGAGACTGATCCGACGGACGGAGTTCTAGCAAAGCAAATGTCAAACTCGTCCAACTGTTTCGAGGCCGTTATCATAACAGAAACGCATTTTCGGCGGCACACGAATTTCGCATTGGATTTTCGGTAAATATCGTATATCACATTAGTATGCACTGCTATGTTCTCATAATGGAATCCCTAAATTTCTCTAAATGAGCTTACATAACGTGGCCTCTGTAACTCCACCGTTCAGTCAAAAAGTAAACTAGTGGCTAAAAATAACACCTTGAAGATATATGTACAGTTATTGGTTTTTTACAAAGTTGCCGTCGTTTGAAAGGCGAGAGCTTGGACGATGCATAAAGGTAGAGATCAACCAACCCTTCTATCACGACTATGCTTATCCATCAAGCATGGGAATACGTAAAAACGTAACAGTAGCTTATACATGTATTGCGTATTCAATAGATGCACATCTTACACACTGGAGGGCATCGAATACATTTAGTCGCTAGTTCTATAATAGTTATGGTAAAAGAAGAATTCGAGGATCAAAAATAGTGCCACGTAATTTGCATCACAAAATACTCAAGGAGCAAGAGGAGTCAGACACTCCGCTGTTGATAGCGGTCGTCATGCTAATAGAGAACATATTGAGCATTGCCGGAAACAAAGCAGAATACCAGGCTAACGTTTAGTTGCTAGAATAGAAAACTACATTTTAATGGTGATGCTAACATTGGCGTGAATTAGACGATTTAGAGGAGTCTGACGATGCCCGCACGACTTCAGTCCACATGACTGTCTCTTGGTGCATTACGTGCTACACAATTCCGATTGGTACCACATATTAGGGAAACTGACGTCGGGGGAACCACGAAACGGCATGGGCAGGTTGTTCTATAATAAGCGACGTTATGATCATAAAATGTAATGGCAATGACTAAAAACCATTAGTGTATTCTATGTAAAAGAACCAGATAAAGATCCTATTAGACTCTGATATATAACATTATTTGGAGCTAGCTAACGAGGAATCAAATAAACCGATTTTATTTAATTGTATAACGTTTACACGGATCGCCTTGACTCACCGAAGTGTCCCTGTTGAAAACACCGCTTTTTCGGTATATTGCCTATGAATTTTCAACGACATATATGCGTATACGTATATTATGGTATCGCTGTTGACGGTGCACATTATTAATTCTTCTATTTATCAACTTCACCCGGTTAAGGAATAGGATATAAATAGCATATAAGCGAAACAATGTAATCAATGGTCAATACAGCTTCGAAGTGGTCGTGAGGACTCGTTTGTTTCAGTCTATGAGGCAGGATAATGTTTGCTCTTCGAATACGTCACCGACTATGCCGTTACGGGTCGACTAATAACACCAAAAACTCTGAAAGTGTTCGATTGACCAGGGTGATTCTGACTGAGGAAATAGTTCATTCAGGGTTTGACTAAGATGAGAAGCGTGACGTTTGACCTACTGTTTCGTTTAGCACTGTGTTTTCGAAGGTATTAGCTTCCCGCAATGCTTGTGCATTAACCCTACCTCTTACTATTTATTGAGGTGAACGGATTCTCTCTCCTAGTCTCTATCTATATAACTGTCGGTAGAACGGGGATTAACCAGACAGTAGTGCTAATATGCATTCTTGTGAGAATACTAACGTTCTGTCTAATAACGAAATGTTTTTTAATTAGCGCCTTCGGTCCTCATCTGTAAGGGTGGCAGTGAAGTAGCAGTTGGTTTATCTGGGCCGATACTGCAAGCCAACAAACCGTCGATTGTCCTACTCCTAGACCTGGTGAAAACTTTTGGCATGCCCTACTGCACAGATGCACAGAAGGTATATTATAAAATCGAATCAATTTTTTGTGTTTGTTTTCCATTCGCCGTTTCATCATACCAAACGCCGACTAAAAAACTGTAAAGACATATTTTCGCATGCATAGGCCGACGCGATTCTAAGTTCAAATTTGCCGTATTTTGATACGATTGTCGAAAACAGAAGTTTGTCCCGCCATTTTTCGACATCTCTTAAATTTACATGCCACAGTTTCTGTTTAGTCATCCATTGGACGTAGGGCTAAACTAATAGCGACCCTGTTTGCCGTTCAGGAGAAATTATGCTCATTTTAACAATGCTGCGCTTATGTTAGGCTATCTGAACGGCTTTTAGATGTCAGTTATCTGTGAATGGTTTCCACTTTTATAAACACTTCAAAATAACGCTACAGATACCAGTTAAATGAACAATATCGTACAAGTTTCTTGATTTCGAGACGTCGAACGTAAGTCCTTATTTAAGTGTGTTTTTCGTCAATGCGATTCCAATTGGTTACCTGTTTTTCTGCAAGTTGGAATTTAATTAAAAGCTTAAATAGGTACATAGCTCTCTATTGCAAACTACGAAAGAACTAGTAAATCGTCTAGAGATAAGGTTAGTTTTTAGGAGTTTAATCTCGTTAAGCTTCGTTTCTAGATTTTTGGCACGGTAGCATGTGGAGCTTAAGCCATGGTTTTCCCGAGTATCTCTCCTAACACTAGTCTGACTGTTGAGGTAACATTTTCGAAAAAATGCATTCTAACTACACCTATATATAGCTATTATGTGGGATGAAAGTACCGTGGAAAGCTCCGCTTGATGTAATTGGATATAAAACAATTATATTTCCGAAGTAGACTTTACGCGCGATATGACTTTAATTCGTTCTCACTTCGATTCGTCACCTTGTATGACGCTCACTATTGTGTGACCTTAGCAGATTATAGCGGACGCTATGATTGTGTCAGCTGAATTAGTATGCTCGGTAACCGCTAGAGGGCCATGCTAAAGTCGGCAGCGAAAGTTGTAGACGGTCATGGGTTAGCTAGAACAGGCATAAACAAGCCGTATGTTTCGCCTCGCAGGTGAACGACACTGTGGTACGCTCATAGTGACGAAATGAAAAATGATCTTTTTACAAGAATGAACATGATCATGGCACAACTGGCTGAACTTATTCTACTCAAATGTTAACGCAAACACTTATATTACCTCTTACATAAAAAGATTTTTACCCCTTACGATAGTACTTCGTATCGTGCTACTGCATTTCCCAGCGTCGAAGGAGGTTCTTACGAAGCTTGCTTTACCGATGAATATATGGTCGACATGTAAAATCAATTGTAGCTCGAGTCTTCGGTTTCGTTTTCTTTTCGTGGCAAGCTTCGCACCGTGGCGATCCTGATACACACCGACGATAAATATAAACAAGCCGATATTGCTCTCATGTAAATTATGAAGCATGCTAAGTTCGCCGGTGCTCTTATGTCGGCTAGTTCTGGGACCTTCGAGCTGAAGCATTTTATCGATTATCTAGTACGCTGGACAGAATATACGCAGATGTAATATCTACTTGCGAAGTAAATGGTATGTCTAATAGGATAGTCTATTCTAGTACACTGAAAAAAAATAGCAGTCCTACCAAGCCAGCAATTCCATTTTTTCAGTATAAAATTCAATTATTGTCTCGCAATTGTTAGAATTACTTCTGCCTGCCGCTTAAGAAGTTACTGAGGTTGAGCTCAAAACTATGCACAGGGACGGATCGCGCGGAGGAGTATTTGTAGATGTTTGTCGCGACAAACTTGATGTCGTCTTCCCGTAATTTGTCGTCGTATGAATACGTAATAGCCTAATAGGCATATTTGTTGCCGGGCAAAGTTAATCGTATACGTGCCAACTATCGAAACAGTTTCCCGCGTAGCAAAACAGGGAAAAATGGCAGCTTAAGCGAAACTAACTGCCTCTCGCACAAAAGCTTTGTTTACGTATCAATATCGTTTCACCATTGTTCTTTGCGTGTTTGATATGGAGGATGATGCATTCGTGAAAATGCTGCGTCGTGGCAATAATGATGCTAAATTAGGTCGAGCCCTCACAATTGGCGAAATATTTTTCCTTAATGGAGAGGTATTTCTCTGTCATTTCGTCCTTCGTAACGCGTCAGCTCCAGTTCCTTCCGCATTTCCCACGTCTGAAAATAATACTGCACCAGCGTTATCCATGCTGATGTATCATCAAATGTACAAAAATATATCTATTATAAGCTATTAGGTTAAGGCTATTACAGAGTAGCTGACCGCTACTAGACGTTACTTCTATTTTAAATGTAGTGAGCCTTCTACCTCTACACAGGTCAAATGTGTTTTGAAAGAGTGTGTTTAATAACATTGTTTTATTTTTCAATCTTTTTGGCAACGTCGCTTAGTTTCAGGTATCAGAAACCCAGACGCCGCGCCAACGCATGTATTAGCAAAATGAACAAACAGCGACAATAGCATTTGCAGTAGATAAAATATAGATATGATTGAAAGTTTCAGATAAAAACAACGTTAACTTGAAAAGAAACGGGTTCACATTTCTTGAATTTAATTCTCATATGAACTCAACCATCCAAACATTATATGTTTTTACTTGCGGCGCACGTCATGCTGGGTAATATTTTAGTCAAAAAGAGAACCAACTATCGCCGAAAATGCGTCTCGTTTCGAACAAAACTCTTAACAGGGCGCCCGTCAAAGTCAAGATGAGATTCATAAATATCTTTGTAGTACTTGGATTTTCAGTCGGCCATCGATCGATCTGAGAAGTTTTCATGTGGCCTAGTTCTACCATTCAATAACCCGGCTATAATCAATAATCCGGGTAATTCGTACCCGGCCACGCTAATGTCCAATTAACGATGAACGGGACGGCAACACAAGCGTATACAGGTGCGCTTCACTCGTGAGAAAAAAACATTGTACATATACGAGGAGATTGTACATTAATTTTGCGAGAATATACTTTTCCGCTGATATCGGTTTATTAAGCCCTAAGGTCTCCGAATAGCTAAAAAGGAATGCTTTCTTCAGAAGCTTCAAGAGGAGTATCCGGAGGAGTCAAATTCAGCAAGTTGTGTCTGCAGTATTTTATCTTTTGGGCCTCTTTGGAGGCTTAGAATGACGGGACTGAGTTGAGCTGCTATTATTTGTTGATCGTATGTTTTGCTTGATTAATGTTAGTGCTATATGGGGGCATATTCACCATACTTGGTCCAATGTATTGACTTTTGAATTCTTATTGTTCGTGTCCATACCTTTTTTCTTCTCATTTGAAGTGTAATGCCGACCCATTTTGTTACCGGGCTATGTGGCTTTTAATAAAAGCCCAAAGAATAGGGAACCTCAAAAACTTACTGTAACCCCCAACATGTTGGTACATGTTTTGATCATGTAAGGTCTCCGGCTGAAACATCGAAAGGTGCTACGTAAAATTTATGGAAACTTATTCCATATAATTTTTTAAAATGCTAGTAGGCTTTGAGTGTTAATTGTTTATTATTGACTCCACAGCGAGAAAAATACAGGCTACGATTCCGTTTCTGCTTATCTTTTTAACAAGAGTTCTTAGAACGTGTATTTGTAGGCTGATTGGTTGTCCATTGAAATTATTGGTAGGAATTGATTTTGCACTGATTGAATGTGTTTAGCTAGTTTAGCATATACGTTTCCAATGGAATCAGTTATTAGTATAAAACAACGAGTCGTTGATTTCCCTGTCAAACGAGCCGGTCGCCAGTTACGCATTTATGATCTTTTCGGTGCCATATCTTAACAAACAAATTCAACAATTGCTTCACTGCGCACCCTTACCTAAACAGAAATGAGAACCAAGGGGTTTGGAGTTTGATGCCTTTTGAATTATTATGCATATTCTATCCGTGGAGACTAGCTGGATACTCTAAGCCCAATTGACCTAGTAAAGATCGCTAGCGATTCTATTAAAAGCATGCAAGATACGATGGAGAGCACGTATATGGATGGTATACACGGTTTACTGCATCGTACAGGCGGGTAAGACTACCTTTAATAGCACTCGAGACAGAATTAGTATTAATGATGAGGCTCGTCAGCGTTTAACGATTAACACGAAATTAGGCAGGGAATTATCAAGTTCGACCGCATCTTCACACACTCATTGCAGGACTAACTAATCGACACTGTAGAAACGTTCTTCAAAGCTTTTTTCGCCTCGATCAAGTACATTTCCATAATTTCCGGTATCACTTGTAGTACACTTTTCTTCGAGTACGAAAGAATTCTATTATAGATACAATAATAATCGGTACCGAGTGGGGAAGAATCACAGGCTCTCGATCGGAAATCTCCGATGTTTCCAATAGATTTGCTCTTAAATTTTTTTTATTGACATATATCACAAGCTCATATACGTTTATTAGATAAAACGTATAAGAAACTAATGTATTTTTTGTCAGTCACATTATTATAGGTGTAAAATTGGCCGGCTCAAAGCTTGAAATTATTTTCAGTCTCAGCAGATTTTTTTCATCCAGACTTTTCATCCAGTTTTACAATAAAATAGTGTTTAGCTCGCTCTGCCTGGAAGCTGCTCTGATGGGCCAACTTCATCTAGAAATTTTTAACTTAATGTTATACGAGACTTGGCCCGGCCAGCTGGCAGTTATATCAAAAAAATATAACAGTTCCAATCAAAGCCTTGTACTATACTGATCGTTTTAACGTTTCTAACAACTATACTATATTTTTCAATATTGGAAGGTGCCGAAGACGTAATAGCTTGTCCGGCAAAGTTTAAAGGCCGTCATTAAATAGTAAAGGCTGTCTGTACATTTTATTCGCATACGTTATATCACACTCTCAGCAACTGAAATATCAATTGATCATGTATGCATGGTACCCTCTGTAAAGTTGAATAGATGTAAGTGATAAAGTTGGAATTTATTATTATCTAGCGCTTGACGCGACGCAATTCATTCGAGAGAACTCTATGACTGAATTGACCTTCAGAGTTTTCGGTTACGAAAATAGTTCCACGATGTATGGTAACTTGTATCGTCAAATCATCCGTGTAACAATCGTTGTTTGTGAAGGCTGGCCACGCTGCACTGCTATACCAAAGTGATTCTATTAAAGAAACAACTTAATAAATACCTGTTGCATAAGCGTGCACCTTATTCGTGTATTCGCTGAGTGAAGGCAGCGCTGTTTCTACCCCAAAACCGTCGACGGACACGAGATGTCTTGCTCCTTTCGGACTAATAGACCAAACGTGTGATACTATTTAAAGCAAATTACTACCTCAAAACAAGACTTGGTTTTTGCCTTTTTACGAATTAAATATTTTCCTATTTTCTGGATAATGTTGCAATTCGGCCATTTTTTCGTTGTGTAGCTATTATAGACAGAGCTCGATGGAGAGGCGAACGTAACTATTCATTGTTGAGCATTTCCATTAGTACAAATGGCTATGAATAACATATCCAAGATCCGTATGCTTCAACACGTAATATAATTGTTATTACTACGCTATAGTGTGTTTAATTTTATTGACCAACTACTTATAGATTAGGATGAGCCCTTTGATGGGCTAAAAACATTTGAAGCCATCCCATGTTGATCGCATAAAATGTCTACACGGACATTTTTTTGTATTAATGATGTTTCTGATAATAAAGTTTTTGTGCATTGGATATAGATCATTCTGATGGCAATTATCGCTACCATTACCTAGGTCAGGCCCCAGATTAACATCTACAACATTTACTTAATAATGGCCACCCCCTGGACTTTAGTAGGGTGCCAGTTTTCGAGGATGCCAAACGAAAATCCTATTCAATTGGGAGAACTTCCTTTACGCATCTCGTTTTTCCAGCAAATCAATTGATTTATCCTCTGTGATACGGTATGTCCGAGTAAATTCGCTTAGCCACTAACTGCAGTTTGACCTTCACCGGTAGGAATAACTTAAATTTTCTATCAAGTAGCTTGCGTGCTATTTCAAAATAAGATGTGTGCACACTTCCGAAACACTACACACAGACCTGTCTATTTTTCTTGAAATTAGCCATAAGTTTATTTGAAACTGAGCAAAACGCCCGCGATTAAGCCCGAAAAGAATAGCATAAAATGAATAAATAAATATTATATATATATATATATATATACAAATGTGCATAGTATCATTATATACATTTTACAGTACAGTGGTCGATTTCGTCAAATGCTTGAGCAAAACCAATATTTTCGCGATTGGAAACCGAACTAATTTTAGGCATCTACTTCTAGCACGTAGGAACTAAAACTAGTATATACCAGAACTATTTGATAACTCTTATTCTTGTTCCAGTGTTATCACGATCGGCTATCTATCGACGACATAGGCTACAATCAATCACCCCATACAGCTATTAAACCCCATACAGCCATACAGCTGGAGGGGTGTTTGTTAGCCCTGGATTCTGTCGTTCAAAAAAAGAAGAGGTCCCCACTAAATCTATTGAACCTCAATGGCCCAATCATGTTTCTGCCGTCCGAGCTGGATGTCCACAAAGAACTGAAAGATTCTCTGAAAGAGTGGATTGCGCTGTTTCATTGTCGGCAAATGTAAGTCGACCAGCGTTCCTGACGGGTCTTTGAAAACGATACGCTCGATGGGTACAATAGTCGATGACGTGCCGCAGCCGAACATCTCTACGAGACGGTTTTGCCTGAGTAGGTCCTGAAGTTCCGCCATTGTCAGCTCACGCTCCGAAACTTTGAATTCGTTCTGCAAACACAGGAAGAGTCATGTGACAAAATAGGTTTGCCAAGTTCATATGTACTTTAGAACTCTTACTTGCCAATTAGTTTGAATGGTAGGGTATTATGTGAAGATTCTTGACATTTAACAGTTTGCCTGCGTGCAGAGCCTTATTTCAATTTTAGAGATCATAACACGTTTGCATAACACCGGCTCCCGTTTTGATATCACTGCTAGCAGATCTTCCTATGCGATGGCCTTGCTAACGTCAAAGGAATGTAGTGGCACATGGTTTCGCCTTGTGCCGCAATGAAAGTCTATACATAGGATACCCCTTAACAAATGTAATGATGAGCGGCCTTTTGTCACCGCACCAACCCCTTGTTAATCATACGGACGTTACCATAAGGATGCGCAACATCAATCAGCCGATTTCCGTTCCTTGACGATTCTGCGTGGAGAGCAGAATGTTACTAACTAGACAAATAGCATTAGTAGCGGCACAAGCTGCGATCCTGTGTCAACAACTCCATCCTGATATGGATTGCGTTTTTATTTGATAATCAGCATAAAGTGGATAAAGGCACCGTTTATTTGAGATTTCGATTGAAGAGAGCGTGATCACTTCGCAAAAATTCGCACCATTAACGTAGAAAATGAAATTCCATGAAGCTCATGATTTAGAAAAAGTGTATCATGCACTGTCATGAGAAAGGCTTCAGCGAGTGGTTTCCTGGAGCGGAGAAGCTTTTAAGCTCACTAATTAATGATATATTACGTATTACGCCTTCAGTACCACACACGCGATCTGATACGCACTTACAAAGAACAAAGAAAAGGAACCTAAAAATAAAGCCACTGAATTTCAAATCTATTACCGTTTTGCTCAAAGTAGCGAGTGCATTGCACTTGGTTACGTTTTCATTTTGAAACCAGACGAAAAGCAACTAATGAAACCATGTCACAGTGTGCTTACCCAGTATCGTGCAAGGTCGAGTATAGACTGGCGATTAATTCCGGGCAGAATGATTCCGTTGAGCGGAGGCGTAATCAACTCCAAACATCCGTCTTCATTTCTGATGAGGAAAAATATGTTGGAGGTACCTGCCTCCGTTATACGGTGCTCCGGGCCGAAGAGCCAGAGGACCTGCTGCAGGCCCATTCGTTCTGCCTCTTTTTGTACCACTAGCGTTGACGCGTAGTTACTGTTAAGGACAAGAAGCTTCAGTGACAGAGTCAGAATTTCAATGTCCGCTACTCTTAGAGGCTGCACATAGTGCTTTATAATTTTACTGCGCTTACAAAAGAGGCGGAGCCTAGGCAGCTTCACTAGTCAACAATGTAAATGTTATTCGATCGAAACGTGTAATCAAAGCTGACTTACGCTCCGATTTTCTTGTCGCCGGTTCCTCCGGGCCATGCACGAACGTATTTCGGATCAGCCAACAACTGGATGGGTTTTGCGCTCTGCGAGAAGCTGCCTTCGACCGGACTGCAAATAATGTATAGGACTGCATTCAATGAACGGCCTACGCCTAGCCGTGGTTCAATTCCTAGAAACGTTGGTCTGATGTATAGTGAACCGGAGGTGAATGGTGGTACCCAGTCGGAGTCGACCTTCAACAGCTGCACCAGGCACTGGAGAAACTCTTCACCATCGAACAACTGCACGAAACAATATGTCGTTGCGTTAGAGCGACATTACAATGCTCTTTTCTAGTCAGTTCTTTTGCTTCACTCCCTAACTATAATTGTTAATCGTCGCAAATCGTGTCACATACTGGGACTGCTAAGATACGAACCGGTAGTCCAACGCGTTCAGCCGAACCGAGCAGGCGATTGATGTTCAGATTAGGACGGAACAGGCGAATCTTTCCATCCACCCCCTTATATGCTTTCATACCTTCAAAAAGCTGCAAATAACAAAAGGCACACTTTGAAAACAAAAATTTACAGTGTCAACAACTGAATTCTTGCCCTCTGGTGGCTTAGTAGCTGAACAGAGCTAAGGGCAAGAATTGCAGTTTAGGGGTCTTAACTAGTGTAGGTATCTGGCCAAATATAACCGACCTAAAGAGCCAAAGCTGGTATGCAAGTGCTACTAAGATCAAAGCTAATCTAACTACAACACAGTTGGACCCTGGCTATTTACCTCTTGCCCATAGTGAAACACTTTGGCCGCTGGATGCAGGTTAAGGTTGTGCAGAGGTGAAATGCGCGGTTTTAGCCAACCTGTCTCATCGTTCCAGTAGCACTCGAACATGTGGTCGGCAAAATGACGTCCATACTGAAGTCGAGAGAAGTCCGGCGCGGTTTGTCGGGCCGCTCGGTACACCTCGAGGTCCCTGCACTTTAAACCGGAAGAAAAGGTCAGGGGGACCATCTTAGCTAAACTAGCTAATGTACGACTAGTTAAGGTAGTCGCCGTCATTCCTGTTAATTTCTGAAACGAGTTCACCTTTGTGCGGAACCGATACGCCCACGCTGCTGCTGCTGCTGCTGCTGCAGCTGCTGCTGCTGCTACCGTTGCGACTACCAAAACTGTGCTTGATCACTTCGGTGAGCGCGATGCTGTCTCTCTGTGTCAGCGGAATCAATTGAGCTCGGCTTAAATGGCTGTGAATGTTCTCCTCTCCACGTTAAGGCGGAACGTTAATGGAGGGAGTGCACTACACCGCAAATGTATACTGTGGCGACAGTGACAGTGTCGGCTATAGGTTTATGTGTTATACGCTTACGCTTCCTGCCTACGAGCAAGATCTGGGCCAACATAGCGGAATCAGTAATTACGAAGCTACAAGGCTAGAATAAGCTCTCTTGACTCCTGCCAATGCGTTGTGGTGCAGCTATAATTAGAATAGGTCAGTGCAAAAGCGACGCCAGCTGACATCCAAATATTAACACAGTGACAAGCTAACTGCTGACTGAGTCCCGGCGGTTTTCGAACAAAAAAAAACAGCTGATTTTGAAATAAAGCGCCCTCTGGTGTCTGGGCGGAGAAAACATGATCTGTACGATCGGGTACATTTGGCAAATTTGCAAATGTTACATCTATTAAAAGGCTCTGATTGAGCCAAATAAACGTGTTTGTGTATCATGTTTTGTTGAATTGACAGTTTAAACGCCTTGATAACGGCTCGGTATTCTGAATTTTCACAAATTTAATTAAAAAGGTTAAGCTGTTCAGTTATCTTTTAACGTCCCGCAATTTTGCTCATTGCCGATATAGTTACTGAATTAGCTATGCAATTTTCCTTAAAATACTTGAAAAGAAGATCGAAAAATTTAGCGTTTCATTTTGTAGAAATCTTATTCTGATCGTGGAACGAAAATAAGCAGCCACAGGCTTATTTGTTCGTCTCCGTCCACGAGTATTGTTACGGCCGTTATTTCGGCTATTATTTAGTCTTGTTTTTCATCGATTATCTATAATATCATGCTTCTTCGAGAAACACACTACAAATACGGATTTATATTATGGATAATCTATGTCAAAGATATTCTCGAAAAGGTCCAAATTATTATGTGCAATGCGCATAATTTATTTGACATTTTTGATACATTTGTTCATTTATATGTTAAAAAGCTATTCAAGTGCATGATACGAGTGTTCGCCTTCTTAGGTTATCTAAATCGATGAGCTGAGAATATAAACCTTTGCAAGATCCAGCGTTGACTTAATACTTTGGTCTTTCCATTTAGTTTCCCGATTGTTCAAGGCCTGTTGAAAAATACCGAACTTGAATTAGCCCACGTAGTAGCTGTAAATGAGCGTAGGCTTGCGAATTACAATCTCCCCTGTCAACGCTTTATTTTAAATTAAACAAAGGGTTGAAAAAACAAACTTTGGGAATTGGTAAGGTCGTATAATCCGTAGGCATGATATGAATTTGCATCCAGTGCTTCATTTATCCCTTCTTTAATATGCTGTTATTTCCATTAAACGTTCCCTCGCGACTTGTGGAAAACTATAGGAAAAAATACGTACCATTTCATGCAGTCGTATGCATCCCGACTCGACATATCAGCGTTTAATCATCGAATTCCAATTGCAGTATTCCGTTATTATAGCACTTTAATTTAACATAATGTGGACTAAAAAAATTCTATTTATTGAATCTTTTTTCCTTTCATACGTTCCTATTCCTAACGGGAGCAATTAAATTTCTTCCCTATGCTTCGGCAACAACAAGCTTGTAATATGTTTCCTATTAAAAAAAAAAAAAAGCGCGCAAATAAATTGTTTCACAACGTGCTTTTTTTAATTTTTGGTTGAAAGTATCGCCGTCTGCTAAATGCCTGTTGCCAGTAATAGGTGCAGCCGTCACGCTGACGGGAATAGGAAACGGAGCCTACGTGGCTTCGCCCATGTTCAGGGTTTCGTTCTTTCTTCGCTTATAGCAGGAGACCTAACTGTAGCCGTCGTTAGATAACGTCGGCTTCAAATACCGGTACTACCGGTTCAAACCAGAACGCCGATAAATTTCCACTGCACTATGCCTATGCGTAAGGAGATCTCGCTGTGTGTTCGTCCGAGCTTTCGAATGTCAATGTGAGCCGGCGTTTGTTTGTGTGTGTCAATCTTCGTGTGGACTCGCTACGGCCGCTACGAGAGCTGCCCAACGCCGTCTATCAGTCCGTTTGTCTTCGTCGTTCCCGCGCGCATTAAACAAGTCGACAACCAAACTGCCTCCTGCGTTGTGGGTGATAGAAATAGATTGTCATAACGTGGTTCGACCCGGCTTCAACGTCTTCCCGATAAAACTCTATTGCCGTATCTGAAAGTCTATAAGCGTCTCACGTCGCGGGAAATAGAAGTTGGCCCAGAGGGCAGTGGAACGCTGATTAAGAGGCAGGATCGCTTGCCCGCTGCCGGTTTTTTTGCCTTAGCTTCATTATACTAAATGGGAATAATGATAGTTGGGGAGAGAGAGAGAGGGGGGGGGGAGACGAAATTATAAAAAGATGGACCAAAGGGAACGCGTGAACCACAGCTTAAATGGATAAATATTAAAAAAAAACGAGCAACTGGTCGACCGGCGGGCATAACGCGCTCCCTGACGGAACCATCGAAGAAGAATACACGACTTAATTTGTTTTCTTGTCAAGTTGACGATCTCGAAAGAGTTATCCGAGCGGAGAGCCGCAGTTAAAAACGACAGCGATCACCCGATTCATACTGAGAGCAGCGAAGCAGCCAGACTGGCATGAACCGGTTTCGGCATGGTTTTGAGATTTGTAAGATAGTCGAGATTTGGCCGATTGTGGTACTTTCGGACTTTGTTGGATTGGCAAAATGCCAGGGTGCCAAGAAGCCAGCTCAAACCGGTACTACCGGCAGCTCTTCCACAGCCGCTGACCACTCAACGCTTATCTATCCTACAAAAAGTGTACATATATATATATATACATCCATACTGACGTTATAACTGATGGAGACGATCGCATTATTGTTTGGCGTAACATCAGAGACGCTTTCGTGCTAACGTTTCATTTGCGTAGAAATTCCTCGTACGCACATATAAAATCAACTACCGACGATTCGATTGACACGTATTTAATCTGGGAAGAACAGAGAACAAGCTCGTTTTTGGAAAATATAAGTACCTAGAGACGGGCAACCTATTCCAAATGGTACCTATTTTTCTCATAGCTATTATATATGGACGCCACAGTTGGTTGCATATTGAAACTTTTTCTTGTCTTCCATTGTCTTTTCCTTTAGATTCTCAAAATCAACGTATGCTCCGCAATTGATCTACTTTGAGAAATGCTTTTGTTTTTCTCCTACAATATGTCTATTTTTGTTATTTGGTCGCTTATTGTTCCCAAAAATTTTTTCAGCTAGAGTTCAGGATGGCACTGAAGAGAACTTGTATATATACACGTAAGCAGAATACGGACACATTGCCGTAAGTAGGCTTTCTTTTGCTCTGCGTCTAGCTATAGTTGTAAATTACATAAATACTTCGTACCAATATGAATTATAGCTTTTCGACTAAAATCAACATCGTACCTATGTAATGTCTCCAATATATGCATCACATATAAAGCCTGCTTTTGATTTTTATGAAAATATTTTCGGCTCATACACTGAAGCGAAATTTGCAGAAGGCTACCCATATTGCGGAATATACCCGTTCGAGGAATTTGACACTAAACTTCGCGGTCGAACGATCTTCGATTCCAGAGACGTGCCAAGGTGGTTCGAGGAAAACCATTTTGCGAGTAAGCGTTTTTATTGTCAATGATACGCTGCTCCCATAGGGAAAACTAGCGTTATCTGTTACCCAATAGGCAATGCAGATCTATCATCGTGTGCAGTTCTCAAGAGTCCTTGTAGTGATCTGTGGTTACGGGAAGTAATGGTTAACGCTAAAACGTTGCCGGACGTTAATACTCATCATTTAGTTAGCTTCGGGTAGTCCTTCCAAGGTCTCTCAACCACGACGTTCCAATGACAAAGACACGATAACAGAGTGAAAGTAATGAAAGCGGCGTAATAAGGCCGCTTCCTTGGTTTACGATGTATAGAAATATTTAATTTTCATAGTCTAAATATAATTCATCGCCGTATTGACTTCTGCCGTTGCACGCTAGTCTCAAGACGCACCATCAACCCAACAGCATTAGCTGCTTTTGCATCCGCCCCAGCTTTGCCCTGCCTCAAGGGGGGAAGACCCTCTATGTTTCTATAACAATGTTAGGCATAAAGCAGTTGACGCTGAATCACCACCGGCATATTTCCATCAATCACTTAACCAAATGGAAACGTTTCATCATTAAGTAGTGCGAAAAAGAGTAAAGTTATTTCGTAAATCACTGCGCACCGGTTGCGCGCAGCGTCAAATAAATTACAATAAAGTTTTTTCTGGTACTGTTTTATGCGTGTCATCACCGCATGCGTCCTGCGCTTAGGGGACATTTCGACAGATAATAAATGCTACTCAGAGATCACCGGCTCGACCCCCCAGAATATAAGCTATATAAAGCATTCCAAAAGCAGCTGGGCTTGAGAAACTGTTGTCACTGGCTTACAATCGCAACTGGATGTGAACAAACGGGCACAAGTTTGCGGTGTATTTTCGCTGCAGAGAACCTCCCTTTTTTGAGTTTTACGTCCGGTGTTGTTATTAGGCGTATCAAATAGCTGGCTCTTAGCACGAAACGAACCGTGAAGTCTATGCCAGAGTAAACATTAGAGAACGCTGATTGTTTTGACTTTACGCAGTAGGATTTAATATACGAGATCGCATGTTATATAGCGAATTTATTAGTAATTCATTGAAGTGCTTTTTGATCAACTACTTCGTGTTATTTGTTTTAATGTTCGGGTAACGTACGCAACCTTCATTGGAGAATTTGTAGCTGTGACCACCGACACGTGCAGCTTGTCACGGCAGGCGAAAAATATGTACATTAAGAACCATCGATTCCCCTGTCGCAAAAAATACGGGAACGATCAATCACATAATTCTCTGTTTTGAAGCCAGTTGTGTTTGAAAAATCTTCAAGGAATCGCATTTTGCCAGCCATCCTGCTAACGAACACAGGCTTCTATCAACAGTTTCAGAGAGCAACTAATGTCGCGCACTAGAGCTGTGTATTATTCAAGTTTTAAAGCCGATTACCTCTTCCTGCGTTCGTTTACTTCTATCGTATCTTCGATTCAATCCCATCTTTCAACTTATACTTCTTTAGTTTTCCCGCAAATAACTACTTGAATCCAGTCAGTTGCATTAGATCATAGCTTTAGTACCTATTGAAATGTGTAACACTTTAGACCAAAACTTGCCAGTGAGCATCACGCTGGTCAGCAAAAAATTGGAACCTCGTAGCATTTGGAAACGTTGGTAAGGTAAATTAGATTGTTTCCCTCGCGGACTCTCCCTTGCCCCATCTCGTAAGGAGAATCGGTTTTTTACCGTTACGGTAGCAGAGTGTAGGTGAATGGTCGTGAATACGATTCAAGTGGCGGCGGCAGCGGCAGTACGTTATAGTTTCGATAGAATGGAGACATAGCATACTTTAATTGATTCTGGAAAGCAGCTAAATAAAGGAAACGACGTCTTGAGTATTTTGGAACCGTTCACCCAGCAGCGATTAAGACGTGAGTTGAAGCGCGTCGTTCATCGTTCTAGAACGAGCTAAATCAAGTGGCGACCCAAGTTACCGGTTATATTTATGCCCACAAACTTCGAAACCCTGTGCAGCTATTATATAATAGGCCAGTATGCCTAAGACCTTTGCGTTGAAATTCGTGCAGGCTAAACGGGCTGCTAAGTTTTTGCTTCTTCCTTTTTTACAAGCTGTCAAAATCTTCAGCAGGAGCTACCAACAACATCATCTACATATAGCCTAATCGATTAATCATTAGACTTTTCTACAAATAGAATAAAGCATCCCCTTTTCAGAGTGGGTCAGATGCTTCAGGTCCTCTCCATACTATCGAGATAGGGACATTTATCGTGACATAGTTCTTTTTCCGATATAAAGTTGAAAACATTTATATTTAATTCAAAATTTATACAATTGAGTTCTACGATAATCGTCGACAGAACTTAATTTACAGGTACGATGTTTGTCCCACTAGAAATGTTACATCCTCGATATCTTTTAGATAATATCGCTCTCTGGATTAGCTGTACTAGGCACTAAAGATCGGGACCAACTACCTTCCATTCACTAAAGCCAGTTCAAGAGCCGGAGAGGGCCAAAAAATAGCTTGGAGATGATCGAGGTTAAGGTAATTCTAGCTGAAGCGAAGAAAAAAACCTACTTAGAACGTCTCGTGAGGTGCCCAAATTTCGGAAAGTGGGCGCAGCCTGTGATCAAAGTAAAGGCAATGACTCAAACAAAAGAGCACTATTGAAATAATCAGAGGTGTTTAGGCTCGATCGGCTAGTTGACAGAGTAATAGAATCAATGCCAGGTATGCACGTCATCTTATTACTAGATAACTACAATGCTTGACAGCATTACCATTGCTGGATAATCTCAGCCGAGATAATAAAAACAGAAACATCAGATATCCATGCTGAGCTAGACTTGAAACAGGTATAGCCCGTCGTACAGTGTATGTATGAACCGTGTCAACTATTGGTTGACATGTGCGCCCTACGCACGGCTCTCGCGATCGGAGTGGTCTGTCCTACCGGATTATATTAAGTTTAGAGTTGGATAATATACGCTATGCCTAATACTCTTCCTACCGTTCTAGTCTTAACTAGCTCGTTCGACGGAGTTTTGGAACTGGTACAAACAAAGAAGAAACACGTTTCAATATACCGAGTGAATCACATCTGAATTTGTTTTTTCACAGTCCACTAATGAGCAATTGCTCATTTGGTTTACGTTCACGAGTACACAGTTTCTGTAGGCAGGGCAGGTACGTAATAGCGATTTAAGAATAGCTTTGCTAATGGCTGTGACTCTCAAAACGATCTAATAAAAAGAACGGTAATTGAAATATTATATGCATTTGAATTACAGTGACCAATATGACCGTTTATCATATCGAGCATTTCCCGCCACCTGGCAGTGTTCAAGGTATGAAACGATGTATCCCCAAAGTCTGTCTTACCTTTCTCTCGTGCACCTATCGTGTTCGTTCACTCTAGGCAGCTGAATAGGCCATACTGGCGATCTCAATCAGTAAATGAAAACTGCCCTAGCCCAAAGACCAGGCCTAGAATCCTCATTTTAGCGAAACAGAGATGTTTGCTTTAGAACCGTGTCTTGAATAACCTATAGGACTCGTCTTATTGAAATTGAGAATAGCTATTGGAGTGGCTACATGCTATATAAACAGTCTCGAACAGCAATCCTGTCAGTAAACAGTCTTGTTAAACGTCAGATATGAAAAACCGTCGTGTGGCCTGAAACGTTTGCCAGCTGATATTGATCGTACAAAAACAATTAAATATTAGATTTACTGCTATTGTATCTTCGATTCAATCCCATCTTTCAACTTGTACTTCGTTAGTTTTCCCGCAAATAACTTTTTCTTTGTAGGCAAATAGCATGCAATCAAATTGCTCGTATTGCCTACAAAAAAACCTGTCCGTCCAGATATTTGGAAGGGTAAAATAGAAGAACCCTTCGTTGTCCAGCGTTAAGAGATCGATACGAGATCAGTACAACCGTGTCAGAGTCGAGTGTAGTTCTGGAATCAAAGCGCCTTAAACACGTTATCAGACAAACTCTCACATCGTTTATATAGTGAGTGATATTTAGTCTTTGAAGCTGTACACGTGCGCTTCGCATCCACGCATCAGCCTTTTGCACGAGTAAAATACTCATATTCCGAAGAAATTATAATTTGGTGTTTTTTTATGGCTCAAATTAAGGTTCTCCCCCAAAAAAAGGCCCCAAAATTATTCTCCAAGACGATATGTTGAACCGATAAATACCGATGTTATTACTATGGTGTTCCCGAGAATATTGCGACTAATTAGAAAACTGCTAATAAAATAGTTTTACTTTTCTGGTTCATACTAGAGATTAAAGTAATACACAGTATATGGTTAATGACCGCTATATTCGAGACGCTTCGGTTCGATACTGATAACATTCTGAAGCTTTTCTTCAGAGGATAACGGCCTTTTTGTCCACAGTACGGTGCAGCATACCTTATTACCATAATAGCTATTTCATCATTAAACATGCGATTGAAATAGTTCTTCTTTTTCCATGTTGTGTAGATGGATGTAGTATCATGGAATTCTTAGAGTGTTTGTAATCGACCTACTAAGGACTGTGAGACTCTACCTTGTGACCCTAAAACTCTTTTGACCATGACTCTAAATATGGTCTGTCAAAGAAGCCACTGATGACGTTTCAAGATAACAGTGTTCAATAATTACGATATGCCTTTACTGCCACTCGAGTTCATAATGTCGTCGATTTAAATAAAAGAGGTTACAATCCTTAACTTTTTTTTTTCCCGCACATTGTAGAAATCCTTTGTCAGACACATGATATCCTTAATAGTTTACACAAGTTTTTACTATCCGAAAATATTTATTTAATATTTAATTATTTTACGTTTACATTATATACGTTGTTGTGGCAAGCTGCGGTCGCTTTAGCTGCAAGCATACCTGTATCGCTCACTGTTTTCAATGTACAAAGGGTACTGTCTTTTCCGATAGTATGTCCGAGAGCAAAAGCCCGTAAGACTCTATTTATGCAATAGAATATGGTCTAGCAAGATGTAGAAAAGACAAAAACGGTACCAATAGACGGACTTAAGTCGTCTTTTCTAATCTTCAAAATGAATTACTGTCCGATGGGCACGTTTCACTCTATGTTTATGTTTTGTATTGCAGCATATACTAGTAAAATTCATCACAGCCAAGATTGTTCATCGATGCTTTACTTAATAAAGAGCCTATTATCCATTTCCAGGGCAACCTTTTCAAGAACCTTATTATCGGCGCCTAGATCTTCTTGTACCTGCTACTCTACAGAACAAACGTTGTTACGATCGCCCACACAGTCGGTATTTTCTGCATACACCGATGCCAACTAACATAGCTAGTCCCTACATCACATACTTACCTTCAGTTGATTCTTGAGGTTGAAGATCTTTGTTGACTGCATTTCACATACAGGTTTATCACCAGTAGTATTCATGTTGCTTGTAATCCGCAGCTCTCCGTAGCCAGCACGGCATAATAACAACGCTTCTGGCAGCGCTCAGAAATGCTCGCCAGAGGCTTATAAGGTCTTATTGCGTTTCTCGTCAGACGCCTAGTCACTCTTACTCGTATAATATGTTTCACTCTATCACCCTTCCGTTAGCTTTTCTCTCTCTCATTCCGTCTGCCTTTCTTCAAATTTAACGTATCGTCGTGACCCTATGTTTGACGCTATAGTCGATCTTGCAGTATTATTCGATATTATGACAGATGACCTTTTTCTTTCCAGAATTCACCAAACTTTGACAACCAAGTGTTCTCGCTTAAGGGCTGTGTAGGCAGGTATCAGTGGTGGGCTTCCCCTACGCTGAAATGTCACAAAGCATCTCACACATTTGACGGCAACATGTCGCCTGCACCGTTAGGTCCGCCGACTTCTCTCAGTTCCGATACGGCCCCAGCAGCCACTGCATCGCATCACCGTACGAAAGTAAGTATTCGAACGTGCTTCCATTTTGATTAGTCGCGAGCTAACATTTCGAACAGACGACATCTACGCAGACTTTCGTCCATTTTATTTTCCGCACTTATAACGCGCGCGTCGACGCGCATTTTTATCGGCTGCCGCAATTGGAGAGTTCAGCGAGAACCTCGAGAGCAAGATAACGAATACACCCGTCGAAGGGCTGGATAACGTCGAAAGCAACGTATAAGGGCGTTCGAGATAGATATAAGGGTTGCACGCCAATACATTTTTAATCGGCCTATATTTTCCCGAAATAGATATAATATGCTGCTCTTGGTGGTAAATAGGCAGACAAGAAGAGGAGGTCGACACCTATATGCCAAACAGTATGGAAAAAAAGGATTTCCTACAAAATGGATAGGTAAGTCATTCTTATACAGGGCTTTAGACATCTATTCATAACACATATTCAACGATCGTGTACCAGTTATTATGGCAAAAAATTGTTTGAACGACCCCGGCAATACTACAGTTAATTCTAATTAAGCTTTTCAATTCTATGTGACACAATATTAGTAAGCTCTGTATTGTATTTAAGCTCGGTACGAAAAAAAGCATCACTACGTTTGGATTCAAGGTTGGATCGCCACGTGCCCTTAAACATACCAGGTAAATATACTACTCAATGCCGTATCACGGAAGCATAGAAACTCGGTCAGCAGAAGGGTTTGTAGGGCGACAGATTTTCCATAGAAAACGGATATAATAAATAAAAACCCACGCAATGTGTTGTCTATTGCTATCTATGAGAAAGCAGACGAAGACAGCGTCTGATGAAATTCGGCGATAAACATGCCACAAGATAATTAAAATCAAACACTGCAAAAAAATTATTAATCGAAAAATATTTTTGGCATGAACCTTTCGAATAGGATAAGTTTCTTTCTATAAAGAGTGAAGTATTAACTTTTTTTTTAATAGAACTTACTGGTTAGTGGTTTAGTCCGCCACATAAATGCACCTATAGTGAAAGAGAGCGCCATACAACGAAACATATTCTTTTGTTTAGCGAGTTGACCTGGATGCAGTAGCGTTTCTCGACATATCTACAAAACCAAAGCCAAAAATACGCCTGAATTACCGATTCGCAATAACATTGTTTTGACGGGAGAGTCCTGCGGTAGTGTCACGGCAAGCAGTGGATCTTACTATTAACGAAAATAAGGATGACTTTTATCGAAGCCTTTCAAAGTGAAAACGCGTGTTGCTTCTACAGGCAGGACAGTTTTCGGGCTCTCCAATCCGTAGCCCGGTTATACCCATGTATATATATATATATATATCGTAATACGAAAGACAAAATTATCATTACACGATATTAAAGTTTGACACTGGTTCAAAGGTGGCATTAATTTGCCGAGAAGTAGACATTACAAAAGAGATAGCATAAAGAATGACCATAAAGCTAACATATAATACGATGAGTCGCCTTTCAAAACAAATCCTCTCCCACTTCCCCTTACTTGTTGTCTACTTCTCATAAGCCGCTTTCTTCTTGCCCTATCAGCGTGTTACAATGATATTGTGTTGTGAACGCAATGCAAAAGAACTGATGGATGGATGCATTTTCAAAATGCATTTTCGACTGCCGACACAATGCAGGACATTTGCCTTGTATACGGTATCGACGTTATTGAGTGTTAAAACAATATTCGAAACCTGAAAGGTGCCGCCACTATGGCCTAGCTTCACGACTATCTGAAAGCACCTTTGAAAGAAGACTGCCGGCAGGCAACTCGGAAAAAACTGGGCTGCGGCCATTTTTAACAACATGAGACCTCCTGGATTTGTTAAAAAAAACGTTGAGCTTGGGTATTTCATAAACTTCCTCAATTTAAGAACCCAAGAATATCTCACCATATCATCCAGTGTCAAAGGTCACACGGCGACCCGGCCGCTACATGTAAATATTAAAAAAACGTCACAGTACTATTTAGTATTTTTATTTCGTACACCCGATCATGTTTTAATTGTAAAGCTAAAAGGTGGATGGTTTCTATGCATGCACATGATCAGCCCTCAGAAACACCCTCTAAAGCTTATAGGGTACATGTAGCCCAGATCTTCAGGATTTCTCTAACAACGAATGTCTGATGAGCGTCGTTATTTAAGGTTGCAGTGGAAATCTCATCTTATAGTACCTGTCACAAGCTGTTAGTACTTGTAAACAAAAAGCCGTTCCAAGCGCCATCTATCAATGACACGCCAGCAAACAATGGACAATGATCTAAATCAAAAACGCCACCTGGTTTTGGCTTTTCAGGACGGGAATAAAGAGAAATCGTTTTTCATGCCAATACTTCTTTATTCAATTAGATCTGTAAAAAGGTTTCAGCTATAACATGTTGTTGCCATCTGGAATATGGAGCGCGGGTATGTAACTCGCTGATGCGTCCATGGGCACACCAAATCGTTATACCAATGTCGCAGCGTTCGAGTGTCATTTGGGCTTCTCGTCTGATGCTGTTAGAAACCATTTGGTTTCTTTACCGCTCTGTTTTTTATAGATGACAACATTGCATTCAGAGTACAACGACGACCTGTTCCTCTTCATGGAGCAAATAATTAACGAGACCATGTGTCTAACTGCCAATAGCTTTTCTAAATAACATCTAAACGCATCTATGTCTAAGTTAGGTTATTTAAGTTGTTGTTTTACCTTATCAAATTCTCGCTCTCTGAGGGAGAAGATTTGTTGAGCCCATCCAATGGTAATTGAATTCTAAAGGTGTGAGCAAGCCACCATCCGTAATTGAAAAATTCTATTTCGGACAATATCATTAAGCCCAGATCATTGGAGTAATACGAGATATTACTACTGCGCCGTCTGTCAATGCACTTACTGTAGTTCTATTTCGTATCTAATGTAAAACAATATAT